TTTACAAAGTCCTGACTTTAATAGTGCGGCTTATTCGCTCCACAAGGTTGAAAATTTCAATCATTTTGACGACAAAATAATTACTTCTCCAGATTGTGACAGCTCAAGAACTGAATCTGATTTTTCCTGCTTGAAACAGCTGTCTCCTGGAGGATCCTTAATGGGTGCTAATGAGCAGACTGGCTTTAACACTGCATCATGCTTTCCCTTTTCTCAGTCTAATGTGCATTCTGAAACAAAAACTTATAAAGAAAACAGCCTGTTAAACACAGTGCACCCGATAATCGAAGACCAGTCTAGTAATTCTCAGCTTCCAGCACACAAAGCCTCTGATTTGATTTCTTTTAAGTCAATAACTTCTTGTTTTGATGCAAGACCAGAACACACGTCCAGCTTGGGATATCTTTTCAGTAAGCTTTCCTGCCTTTACAAGGATACCAGTAGTCAGCTACTCAACAGTACAGCAGTTTCTAAACAAATCAAGGAGTTGGGAAGTTTGTGTGACAGAAGTGAGAGATGTGCACAAGCCATATCATTAATAAAAAATCTGCCATTGGTAAGAAACTTGCAAGTAAATGTGTTCTTCAAGTCAGATGTGAATCAAAACATGTCCCACACAAGTGATGACACCAAAGCTCATACTGAAAATGTCACTCAGCCTGAATCCCCTGTGCAAGGGGCTATCACAATGCATGTAAGCACAGAGATCTCTGATGCCTGTGCAGGAAAGCCCTCTGAAGGATTTGCATGCTGGTGTAAAAATGAAGAGCTGGAAAACACTTTTGTGTTAACACAGAACTTTGTGCATTTTCCTGGTGCCTTTTTGAAGCTTCAGGTCTGTTCTCTGGAAGAAGTACTGGAATTTTTGACCTATGCTTTACCTCAAATTTCTATTAGGATGGAAGAGTTGAAAGGCATCTATTGGCTCGCTGTTGGCAATTGCAAAAAGCCCAATCCAGCACCTGCTTGCTTGCTTTTGTTCAGCTCTGTTCTGTATGTTGTTGTTTTGTCAGACGAACAAGACAGCTGCCAGAGTTCCTTGGAAGTGTTTCATGAGGTTCCTATCAGCACTATAAAGGAGATTCAAGTTGGCTTTGCTGGACAGAATATTACTCTTCTGTGTTCTGCTGAAGATAGTTTACTTACAATATTTACCTATAACAAACACTTCACTCAAAGAATTTGCCACGACATCATGAGCATTTTGATTTCTACAGGAGATGATGATTTAAATCACCAGCTCTTGAAAGGTGATTTGATGCAGCTTTCACTTGACTGGACGTCAGATGTAAACGACTTAGTTTTTTCAAACGGTGTACGGTTGTCCTGTAAATTTCAAACTGAATTAGCTGATCTGGTTTACTTACTCCATGAAAATATGGGAGGCATTAAACCTTCATTAGGTGACATTCATGTGCTGCTGTATACCTCAGTGAAAGTAGACTGTGCTATGCAGACGGTGTATAGAAGTCTTGTTCTTACAACTACTCATATAGGTCTCTTAAACATTAATAGTGTCTTGTATCCTGCACCTAACGTTCTGGGTGCTTCATGCCAGCAATCACAATTTGACAGCCTTCAGTTGTACAGTTTGAATGATATCCGATGTGCAGTTTTGCCAGACAAAGAGAATTGCACAAAAATTGAGCTTGTGTTTTCTAGAAGGAGCAAGGTTGGATCTGATTCAGGAATTCGTTCTTCTGAATACTGTGAAAAAGAAATAAATACTCAACTGACAGTTATCCCATCAGTTCTTCAAAGCAGTTTGCATATCCCTTCGGAAATCTGGAAATTAACATTCAGTTCAAGTGAAGAAGCCATTTGGCTAATTATGCATCTGACTAGGTGTTGAAATCCAAATACGTTTAGATACATTCAAAATAAGAGGCTAATGAATATTGATAAAATCCTTTTTCCCCCCTCTTTTTTTAATCAATAGACAAAAAGGACCTGTGAGCCTCTAAGACTGTGTACACACATCTTTGCAATAATAATTATTACTTGAGTGCTTGCTTTTGCAGGTCTCTGATACGCTGTACATATATTTCCTTTGGAAAGTGAGGAAATTAAATGTTTCTATGTTATGTGGTAGATGGATGAAAACTATAATTACAGCTCTGTCTTCTGATTTCCATTTTGGCTGTGTTGTCTGGCTCTTTCCATCTACTTTCTGTCTTCATTAATGTCTTCTTCATTCCTCCTTGATGGCCTTTTCCCTAATCTTTCTGAGTACCTGTGTTTTTCATGCTCCTCATTTATTGCACACTCTTGATCACAGTATTTCAAAACATCTGCAGATTTTCTTTATCGTGTATTCACTGTGTGCTCTTAATACTATGGATATTTACAGGTTTTATAATTTGATTTTGGGAAAAATAGCACTGACAATTCTCTGCCTCAGATTTTTGCATTTAAGGTTCATTGTACTTTCACATCAAAGTTTGTCACGAGTGCAAAAGGAGTTGTGTTTCAAATAGCATTTCAACCTTTAGTCATGCTGCTATACCTGTGGCAAGACAAATGTTTTGGGGTCTATCATCTGTGTACATGTTTCTCAGGCTGTAACTGGATAGTTAGCAACTGGGGATACTGCCTGACAGATGGAGTGAGTTGAAGTGTAGAGTTCTATCCATGTAATGTGCTTGGCCTTACTTTCACCTTTTTTCTGCCTGTTTACTAATGGGTTTGTTGATGTTGTGAGATTGCATCTTTTACAGTAGTTTTAATACTTTCTACCGAGAAAGAATGAAACTATCCATTAGTCGAGGCTTGGCTCTAACTTAGTACAAGGTTATTCTTTACCTGTTACCCCATCAGATGTTCAAATTATAAATAAGCTGTTGTCCCCTATCTTTTGTTTTTCCCTTGTAAAGGGAGCTGAATACCTTTTGAATCCTGTTGCTTGAATGTGCCATCTGCCTCATGTGAGGAAGATGGTTCTTGGCAGAAAAAGCAGTGGTATCTAATCTGAAATTCTAAATTCTGTAAGCATATTGCCAGTAGAGGTGCAATCTTCTACTAGACAGAGTTAGACTTCAATCTCTGCTAGTATAAGAACATTTCCCATTTGTTTTTACCATATGTTAAGACATGATAACGTAACTCACATGAGATTTAAAAAGAAATAACTTGCATTGAATGAGGAAGTTATGTCTGGAGGGATGAGCAATGGTTTGGATAGAGAATTATGGTGGGGGTTTTTCATTACAAAACTTTCTACTTCTTTAAGGAAGTCCAAAGATGACCAAAATGTGCCATGCTATTTTGAGGTATGGTTTTTATTTTTAAAAAAGTGTGCACAAATATCTCACAGAACATGGAGCAGACACAGTAGCTGTGAGTTATGAGTGTAACTATGTGTCAGTCTACTTCAGGAGTGGTTTTTTCCCTCCTTGCCATCACCAAGGCCTTGCCCAAAGTTGATGCTGAATGTTACTTTCTGGAAAGAACTGTCTTTGTCAAGGCTGTTAAATCAAACAATTTCTGCAACCAATTTCTTTTCAAATTATACCCCAAAGTTAAATGTTTGTGGATGCTGTGTTTCCCAATAACATGTTTTTCCTCTTTTGTGTTGGTTTTAAAATCTAACTGAATAAATATTCTGCACTTTTATGAGAAAGAACAGCTTCATAGCAATATCTTTTATTCTACTGTAAATTAAACATAACACCGTGATCAATATTTATGATTATCAAAGCATTATTCAATGTATTAGGCCGCGGTTTTCACAACACTCTGTTTTCCTCTCTAACTATTAGCTGTTTGTAATGGTTCTCTGAAAATGATTGCCAATAAATTTCAAGTTGACAGAGGTGGCTTTAAGAGTGACTGTATGGCTTTATTGTTGTTTTGAAGAAGATGATATTGTTATCAGGGCAATGAACTCCTTTTTTCCCCCAAGGAAAGAATTGCTTACATTTCTGTGCTCCAGAAATGAGTTTTAGCTGAAAAGCCAGGAACGTGGGGAGTAATGAAAGAAGGGCAAAATGGACAGGAGAGAATATTTGTTGTGAAAACAAAGGTCACTACAAATATTTTACCTTTCAAACATGAACTTTTTAATATATTTTCTTGAAAAAATAAAAAGAAACTGTGGAAAATTCCCTCTAGATAAGTAAAATTCACTTTCTTCATATTTTCTTGTTCACTACTTTTAATACCAATATTAAGGGAAATGACATTGGCATTTATAATTGACTGGTAATGAAATAACTGCCTCCCCTTCTTGAGAGCCATGAGGATTTCAAAAGGCTCTCTGTAACAGGCAGAGGACTGAGGAATGAGTTTCAAACTTTGCTCCAGCTCTACACAGTATCATGTGTGCTGTAAGTCACCAGGAGTTGCTACAAAGAAAAGGAATGTTGAGAATACAGTTACAGATCAAGTGTTGGGTATCAGTGCTGAATACAAATATATAACACGATCATAACTGTAAAGTGATCATTTTTCAGGGTTTTTTGGTTATTGTTTAACTTATATTTGTCACAGAGCTGTCATTTTTTAACGTAAAAGATCATTAAGGTTTTCAGACCAAATATGTTCAATTGAGCAAGTGGAGCACTGCCTAAAAGGCAGTTTCTGTACTTTTTCATTCTAAATGCTTATGCTACTTCTGGGCACAGTCACTGCAAAGCAATAATCTTTGCAGTTGCAAAAATATTTTATTTTTGATGTAACTTAGGAGTTGCAGATTCTATCTGGCTGCTACAGTCGGAGGAATGGGCCTTCATTACAAATAGCTGTTTAGATTATTTTGTCCAGACTGTGCAAATTTTTCACATTGGAGTTTTCTGAAAATTAGATATGATTTAAAGAAAATAATAGGAAACTGTTCTGACAGTGTATGGCTTATTTAATATAAAATGAGTTTGGATTTCCAATGTCTGCGAGCTTTCTGCATTGCCTAGACCCTTGCAGCTTTGCATGATAGTGTAAACAGGTTTGTTATATAAAGAAAAAGACATATAAAAACTATGATTGACTGTGTAGGCTTGATTAATATCCTTCTTTTTTTAAAAAAAGGTTAATACAAAGTCTTTTGCTTTCCCTTGTTTTTTTATATCTAAGCTGAAAATGGCTTTTTAAAGAAAGAAATATTTTTGAGTACACCTTAATTTTTCTATGCATTAAAAAATGCTAGGGCTTGCTTATAAAGGGAGTTCTACCTTGTTTTCAAACAATTCCTTCATTTTGGAAACAATGCCTGCCTCCTCCATGCTCTCTTTCCTTGTTCTTCTGGCCAAGAACACTTTCTCCTTTTTAGTGAAGTTCTTTTCTTTTTTTCCTTATGTAGTGATTTTGGTTTTCCTTTGTTCTCCCTATTTGGTATGCACATGAAAGCGGATGGTCTGTCGTTCACTGGGAGCAAATCCAGACGACCTGAAGGACCCAATTAAAATTAGTATTCCACGGTATGTCCTGTGTGGGCAGGGAAAGGATGAACACTATGAGTTTGAAATAAAGGTAAGTTCTTTTCAGTTGCTTTTCTTTAATGTTTTTGTTCCACTAAATGCAATTTTGGGTTCTCTTTCTGTTGTTTGAGTGGCCTCAGCACTGTTAAATAAGAGAGGTTGTGAGAAAGACATGTACAATACAGGACACTATAAGGGCAGGTATTTTCCAAGTGGATTGATTGTACAGGGGAGGTTGGTGGCTAAACTCTTGGGATGAGCAATTCCAGGGCCAATGTCAATTCAATTCAAAGTGTTGCAGAGATGAGGAGCAAATGCATATTGGTTGTAGGGAGCCCTCTTACTGAGATGCAAGTGTCAGGTATAGGAAGGGATTAGGCTTGAAACATTTACCTGTAATAATGAAAGCATAATTAAACTATTTTGCACATAGGCACAACAAAGGCAGGATTCCTTTCAGGCTCTCTATATTGTTCTGATCTTCCCACTCTGCACTTCCAAGGTGTCACTTCTCCAAACTGTTATCTCCTTCCCCTCCAATTCTAGTGGCTTTCTCAGTGATCTTCTGTGTAGAAATGCTGGGGAAAAATGCATATTCATTTTGTTTCCTCTGGTACTCAGCCAGTGTTTTTTCAAAGCAAGATGTAAAGTCTAATTGGAAATGTGCCCTCAGTGTGTGTGGACATGTAGCATAACTGATGTACATGGCATCAGAGACAGAATTGGCAGAACCTTCACTGAATGTACTGCCAGATGCTTCATTAGCTGGTGTGAGGTGGAGGAGTGACCTGCCTCACACTGTGAAGGACCATTTTTGAACTGTGCTCACTTTCTCCTTTACAAAGGGGGTTTTTTTAAGATGGGCAATCTTAGCTCTGTTTTTGCTAATCAAATTTTCATCTTAAAACATATCACACAATTTGTGGGTGGAATATCTCCTTTTGACTGTTGAACTTTGATTTTCCTGAGCCAGAGGGAGACTGAGAGACAAGTGAGTGTGCATGAAACTTCCCCAAAGACTGTTCTGTTCAACAACTATTTTGAGCACATGGGATTTACTAGACTAGGTAACAGTTAGTGAAGATAGATAAAGTAAAAAATTATCTCTTCTTAGTAAGATGGTGAATTTCTTTTCCGGGTATTCTCCCTTCATCCATAAAATCCATGTAAGCATCTACAAGATCTTAGGATGAAGGAGCAGTTGAAAGAGTTGGGAGGCTGGCAGTTTTTGAGATGTTTCCTACAGTAATTTCCTTACATGAATCGACCAGCTGTTCATGCTTTTTCCTTTCCCTCCAGGTCTCTGTATGTCACAGTGGTCTGCTTTTGCTGTGGTCAGACCTTCCACAAACTTCTGTTTTAAACCTTTGCCCTTTGAGCTGCCAGCTCTACTTTGATCTCTATTAATCTGTAATTTTTCTGTAATCTTACTGTAATAAAGTAATGTGATTTTCTTTCTTTCTTTAAAAGTCAGGAGAGTAGGAAAACAGAGCAGAGAGGAGAAAACATGTGCCTCCTTATTTCATCCCTTCCTGATAGGTCAGAATACAATGTCAGCTGTTGAAATGATTCCTCATTTCAGCCTCGGTATCTTGTCCATCTGGGCATGTATGGGAACAGGCTAGCAAGATGCTGTGTCCACTCAGGTTCTTTCACTGGATACAGGTCCTACTTTAAGACGTTGAGTGAGTAACAAGAACCTGTTGAAGATAATTCAAAAGAGAAACAAGCCCATACTTCATTAGAGCTAAGACAGCACCTTCTTCTGCAGCAGGATGTGTCACAGAGCTGTTTGTGCTGGTCTGCTATTAAGTATTCTGTAAGAATTGATGCATTCCAAAAAAAAAGCTTCCATTTGAGTGACAGTTTTATATGTTGTCTTTAAAAACATGATGAAACAGTAATAACTTAATCAGGTCTAAACATATTTATGTCAGAGCCAAATTAGAATGCCAAAGAACTATTCTTGTATTCTCCCCTTCCTTTCATGTTGTTGTGATATGCAGAATATTCAGACAAGGCTGCGCTAGAAACAGCGTGTGGGAAGAGCTTTTGCATCACTAAAACCCTTGGCATCTGTTACAGACAGTGCCTGTGGTTGCAGACGGTACCTATGTATGGCAGAAGGAGCAGCAAGGCAGCAGGGGAGGTGGAACTCCAGCTCATATAAAGGCACAGAGGATCTCTTGAGAGCAGGTGATGGAAGCAAAGCCTGGAATCAAGCACAGCCTGCAGGGATCCTCTGACAAGAGGGAAAGTTGTAGATAAGCCTTCTCATTCTTACTCAGCTTTCCCTCATTGTTCTGAGTTCTCTCTTTTTATTTATCCTGTTTGATATTCTTTCAAAACTGGCTTTTTTTCTTCTATTTCAAAGCCTTTCAGTCATGTCTGATGAGTTCTCTATAGGCAGGTGCACCCCAAAGCAAGTGCTTTACTCCAGGTCCCGTCACACTTCTATTCAGCCAGATGCTGTGGAGAGTCTGCTCAAAAAGTCCATAATTCTAGTCTAAGTTTCTTTCTGAGTTTAGAAAATTATTGCAGCAGCAGCAGTGCTCATTGATACGTAGCTCTTAAAGAAAATGATGCATGGCCCATAACTACCTAAATTAGTTAAAAGTCCAGTATTCCATCAGCCTGATCAGATCAATACCCTTAAAAATAAATAAAACAAGGTTATAAGAAATTTTCAGTTAGCTTTTAGATTTTCTGGTGCTGTATTCATAGGCATTGTGAGGAAGAGTTTGATCGAGGCTGTTCGGAGAAATATTTTCACAATGATGTAGAGAGTTTAACCAGCCCAGAAAAGCAAGGTGGGCATTTTCTGTTCTTTCTAATTGCTTTCAGAATCAGATGGAATATTTCTTTTTCTCCCCCACCATGGTTTTACTTCTATTTCTATGGGGCTGAAAGAGAACAAGTTCTGTGATGTGCTTTACAGGGGAATGAATTGAAAATGCCTCTTAGGTTATATTCTGTCAGTCATCATGAGGAAAAAAGATAAGGAGGCAGGACTGTAATATCTCCTTTCAAATTTATAGTTTTTATGGAGGAAACAGTGCCCTTGAATGAAAGAACAAAGCAACCCACAATTTTGAGGCAAGTCTAGGATTGCAGCAGTGCCTCAATAAGAATATTCAAAAAATCTGTCTTTCAGATTTACTCCTATATGACTTTTGTTATTAAGAAAATAGTTTTTACTTGTATTAGTGAATTACATAAAAAGTAAAGGGCTTTTCAAAATTGCTGTACTTGTTATTGTTCAAAAGTTCTTCATATGTCCCTATCCCATACCTGCAGAGTGTGTGGTCTGTCATACACTTCTTTTAAATGGAGGAAAAGAATCCAAGCCCAAACTGTTTGGATCAGCTCTAGGAGTGAAACACTCTGTTCTAGAATTGCTATTGCTATGCCAGGTGTGCTGTAATTCTCTTTATATGAGCAGAGTGTGAATCTGTCAGTCCTAATAACATTATTGCTGTGCCCTGGGGACCGGTTAAGATTTTGTTTAGCTTTGAAATTCATTTTTCAATAATATTAGCTGTAAAAACAATAAAAATTTGCAATTACTTGCTAGTCTCATTACAAGAATTAGGAAAGTAAACAAAGGAGACTAAACAAAGAGGACGGCAAGGATCAGGTCACCAGAAGCCACCAGAGAAGACTCTAGAGAAAATCCTTCAGTTTTTAGGCAGCATAGATACATGGCTTTGCTGTTTTCCTTCCTGTCCATCTCTAACAAGTTGATAAACTTGGTAGAAGAAAGCTAATAAATAATTGGCTGCAGGCACTTTGATTTGGGTGAGTTTGGTGCCACCCTATCACCTAGACAGGTGTCAGATGCACAGCAAACAGCACAGACAAGCTGACATGCATGCTCTTCCCCAGGCTATGTAGCTGGAAGAGTCCTGGATGCTTTGTGCTAGGTTGCTTCTCCTTCTGTGAAAACTCTAGGGGAAAAAAGAGGTCACTTTTGAATGAAGAGCGTATATAAATGAAATTATCACAGCAAAATTTCACAACTCTAAAATATTAAAAGACAGAACTAAAGCAAAAAGAATGCAGTAATGAGTAGCATCTTTGTTTTATGATTATCCATTATACTTGAACATTGTTTACTTAAACATTGAAATCACACAGTCCTTTAATTATTCAGAACAAACTGGTTATTTGGTTAGTTGAGGTCATTATAACACGCATATTCCTGAATAGATATTGTTTTAGATAAACCTACATATGCATGTTAAATTCATTCACTTGAGCTGTGAAGTTTGAGACACTGTTAACAATATATTGAAGGAATATAGTCCATCATGCAGGTGTCCTAGAATCATAGAATCATTAAGATTGATGAAGACCTTAAGATCATCAAGTCCAACTGTCAACCCAGCACCAGCACCATGTTCTCCATTAACCCATGTCCTCAAGTGCCATATCCACATTTGTTTTCTGAAGACTTCCAGGGATGGTGACTCCTAGTAGCAGTCAAGCTTATTGGTGACACAAGAGACAAATTTTTTAAGAAATAATGAGTTTTCATTGTGGAGATGTGCTAGAAGAACCTGTGTTGTAATGTTTGTGAAAAATTTTGAGAAGGCCAGTTTCGTTTGATCACATCTTTTAGTTAAAAATTGAGGTAAAACTAGAGAGGGGGAAACCCAAACCTGATTCCTGATGTCTTAAGGCACACAGTAATTTCTGGTTTCCAAAACACTTCCCCAAGCTTCCCTATTCTGTATACAGCAGCAAAGGCAGCAGGGGTGAAGAAGGGTGGACCAGAAATGAGTTTGCTGCAAGCATGGTTTAGCAGCTGTTGTCAACAGTGCTTGGATGCTAGTTTCCTCTGGCTTTGTTGCTCTGACTTGTTTTTCTCCTATTCAGTTATCAAGCTCCATTGCAACTTTCTTTACCTCCATAACTTTTTTATATGCTCAGTAGTGAGGGATTTACTTGTTAATTTTAGGAGTCACTTAAAGATTAAAAAGTCTGTGTCTTTGTGAAACATGTTTTAAGAAAATGCTTACTTTTTATCTTCATGCATAAAGTCACAGCTAGACAGTGGTAATACCACATATTAGACCTGTTCAGTTAAAAAAGCAACAGTATTTTCAGGTTTAAGCAGTGCCAGTTGACTTTCTTCAGCTCTACTAGTCAGTGTAGAACAATGCTCTCTCTCCCTACAGCTTGGCTTCTTGGTAGCCTTGGGTCACCAGAACTACAGAACTATTTTATTATGAAATTGAAGGCTCTAGTCACAGCACTTTCATGACCCAGCTAGATGTGTCTTTCATTTCACCTAATTTCAGACAGTAAATTTTTTTTTCCTGAAAATTTTGTTGGTATCAGTTTCAATGAGGATTTTGTGAATAACTGATAGTAAGGTTGGTTTGCCCTCCCCCTTTATCCCTGTTGCTATGCACTTTTCACAGGAGTAATTAAGTTGATTTTAAATAAAATATCTGTATAAATGGGATGTTCATCACCATATTGTTGACACAGACCAAGAATGTTTTAAAGGAATATCTTCTACTGAAAGCTGGCAGGTATATATACTCTATGAACTGAAATCCCATTCTATGTGGTAATGAACTCTGTGTCCAAGAAATGTTTATTTATTAATTGTGTGTATCTATGTATATGAGAATACACATTTCTGTGCATATATAGAGAGGCTACACTACACTTGTGCTGGATATTATTCATTCATTAATGGAACACCCACTGATTGAAATGCGGAGAGCTGCATAGCTGCACCAAGAAGTGATTGGAGATTTGGGATATTTTAATGTGTTTACAGCCTTGTCAAACCACTCCAGAATAAGGAATAAATGTGTTCGGGGTTTTTTTTTTTTTTGCTTTGCAATCAGTGCTCCTTATTAAATACACTTCTGTCACTGTAATGAAAGAAAAATTAAGTAAACTTATAAAAGCTTATGGATTTAAGACAACTAGGAATTGCCTGTTTTAATCTTAGAGTCTTGTGTACTGCATGGTTTTTAGTGTTGTGTGGATTTACTTCTGTTTCTTCTTTTTATATTGTCTGCTATAGATAACAGTCCTGGATGAGACATGGACAGTATTCCGGCGGTACAGTCGGTTTCGAGAAATGCATAAAACTTTAAAACTGAAGTACCCAGAGGTAAGTGTTACTAAAAGTTTTTTTGCAGAAATGGGTGGAGGTAGACACTTAAAAATAAGGTTTTTGAGAGATGTTTAGTCAAAAAGGGAGGTGATTTGAGACAGCCAGCATAGCTCCACCAAGGCAATTCCTGTTTGACCAACCTAGCGACCTCCTATGATGGAGTAACTACATCAGTGAACAAGGGAAGGGCTACAGATGTCATCTGCTTAAACTTCTGTAAGGCCTTTGATATGCTCCCCACAACACCCTTTTCTCTGATGTGGAGAAAGAGAGATTTGATGGGTAGACTGGTGGATGAGGAATTGCTTGGATGGTCACTTCCGGAGGATGGGGGTCAACAGCTCAAAGTCCGGGTGGACATCAGTGACAAGTGGTGTTCCTTAGGGGTCTGTACTCGGACCAGTGCTGTTAAATATCGTCATCAGTGACACAGTGGGATTGAGTGCACCCTCGGCAAGTTTGCAGATGACACCAGGCTGAGTGGTGTGGTTGACAGGCCTGAGAGGCAGGATGCCATCCCAATGGACCTGGATGAACTCAAGAAGTGGGCCTGTGTGAACCTCATGAGATTCAACAAGGTCAAGTACAGGGTGCTGCACCTAGGTCAGGGCAGCCCTTTGTATCAGTATGTGCTGGGGGATGAACAGGTTGAGAGTAGCCCAGCCGAGAAGGATTTGGAGGTGCTGGTGAATGAGAGGCTTGGCATGACCTGGTAATGTGAACTTGCAGCCCAGAAAGCCAACCATGTCCTGGGCTGCATCAAAAGAGGAGTGGCCAGCAGGTTGAGTGAGATGATTCTCCCCCTCTCTTCTGCTCTGGTGAGACCTCACCACCCAGCACCGGAGTTCTCAGCACAGGAATGATGTGGACCTGTTGGAGCAGGACTTTTAGTTGATCAGAGGGCTGGAACACCTCTGCTATGGAGACAGGCTGCAAGAGCTGAAGTTGTTCAGCCTGGAAAAGAGAAGGCTCCAGGGAGTCCTCATTGCAGCCTTTCACAGTACTTGAATGGGGCTGATAAGAAAGATGGAAATAGATTTTGCATCAGGGCTGCGAGGACAAGAGGTAATGGTTTTAAACTTAAAGAAGGTAGATTGAGAATAGGTATATGGAAGAAATTTTTTACAATGAGGGTAGTGAAACAGTGGCACGTTGCCCAGAGAGGTGGCGGATGCCCCATCCCTGGATGCATTCAAGATCAGGTTGGATGGGGCTCTGAGCAACTTGATCTAGTTGAAGATGTCCCTGATTATTGCAGGGGAGTTGGACTAGATGGCCTTTAAAGGTCCCTTCCAACCCAAACAATTCTATGATTCCTCTCAGATGTATGCTTCCAGTAAGACTGACAAGCCCTTCAGCAGTTTAAAGCTCTAAGGCTGCTCTATACAGGATGGATGTTGCAGTGAAACTGTGACTCTGTGTGTTGCCTCTGGCCATTAATTCCCTTTACTGCTGACTGGCGTCGTTCCCTGGAGGTTGCTGTTTTGTTCATTGCAAGATACTTGCAGTCAGATCATGTCATCCTGACAACTTCTCATTTAAAAGAAGAGCGTTCCTCCGCAGATACCCTTTTGTAATAGTGGCTTCCAGGTTTCTGCAAAATGAAAAATTGATCTTTCTGACCACCTTGGAGACTCTGGGCATTCAGGATGAGGAGCTGTGCCTGACAGAGCTTTAGTTCATTGGAGTGAGCATTTGTAGAATTACAGTTCTCAGTTTCCACAGCCAAATTTTAATTATTAACATTTTGCTTCCTTTCTACTTGTTCCCTTGGATATTAGAAGAAATAAATCATTCAAGCAATGAAAGTGATCCTGATTTGAGAGTTAGCACTAGTAAAGAAGCCTGGACCATATATGCATGGGCAGTATATAAAAAAACATGAATATGTTCAAGAAAGAGAGACATGTAATAGTGAGCAGATGCTTTCTTGCTCTTCATTAACTTATGCTTTAAGCTAAAAATGAATTGGATCGACCTTGAGTCTGGGATTTAAGATTATTCCCACTACAAAACAATACGAAAACCAGAAATGGAAGCTCCTGTGCACCAAGTATCTAAGGAAAAGTTAACAGAAAAAGAAAAAAGAGAGGCAAAGAAAATTTTTTGTCTTATTGACAGAAAATATTTAAGGTAAAATTGAGTTTCAAACGGGAAATTGGAATGTTCTATTTCCACAAATGCTGTAAAAAATATTACATGTGATCTTCAGTATCGTATTTTTGATTTTAATGTAATTCTGATTCCAGTAGAATGTTATAGTCTGTCAACAAGAATATCCTAATTGCATCTAACTCTTGAAAAAACAGCCAGGCAGTCATTCAGTTGACATGGAAAAGGGTTACCTGAATCCCTTTGCAGACTGATTTTCCCCATTTAGGAAAATGTGTTTGAGGAGTCTTCTTCAGTCTGTTATCAGTCCTGACAATACATTGAGGAACAACTGAATTCAGCTTTTACAGTTGTGTCAGAGGGAAATCAACTTCTTTCTTGTATGTAGTAATTGTATTCAGGAGGAATCTGATGTTCTTAAAAGCCACTATTAAAATGTCCTGTGTGTTATAGCATGTTGATGTTACCTTTTTGAATCAAGTATTTGCGATCGAGTGTTCAAATTCAGGATTTTTGGCGTTACAGGAGCGAGTGGTTGTGGGGGTTTATTATATATTTGTTTATTTTGAAGAACCATGAGAACATGAGTGGTATTAATAGGTCAAAATGAAGTCCAGCATCCAAGAGTGTACAACTGAGGAAAATATTCCAGTCTAGAACACAGGTGCATAGTTTCCTTTATCTTGCAGTCTTTCCAGGTGAAGTTGTTTTTGTCATCATTAACAGTTCATAGTAAATATTTTTCCTGTGGATTTTATCTATATTTTTCATTCTCTATACCACTCAATTTATAGGTATCTTATAGAGGCAGTTTTCTTTTACTCCCTTTTTTTGCTTGTTTTGTAGTGTCTTCTCTCTGTGGTCGTGCTTGTAAGGTCAATATATTCACTAGTTTAATGTGCCAGTTTGTTTTTTATTGACATTTCTGTGTTGCTATATGTCTGTGTCTTAAGTAAGTTTATCGAGACTCACATTTAGTACATTAATGGAATGATTGGTTTAATTATGTAGATGAATAAATATTGTGTCATAGTATGTTTTATTAAGCTATCTGTTCCCTTCTTGACAATTTTTCTAAGACGGGGCAGATACCAACATACCAAGTCTTGCAAGTTTGACAGTAGTATCATTTCCCAGCCCTTATTGAGCCTCTACTTCACAACAACCTTCAAAAAATTGTCAGTGAGGTTCAAGGATGTGCCAGTATGTGCCCTGGCAGCCACAGGCCCAACCACATCCTGGCGTGCATCAAGCACAGCATTGCCAGCCAGTCCAGTGAGGTGATTGTCCTGCTCTCTTCTGCACTGCTGTGGCCTCATCTTGAGTCTTGTGTGCAGTTTTGGGCACCATGATATCAAAAGATATGCAGCTATTAGAGAGCATCCAAAGGAGGACTATGAGGATGGTGGAGGGCCTTGAGGGGAAGCCATATGAGGAGCAGCTGAGGTCACTTGTTCCTTCAGCCTGGAGAAGAGGAGTCTGAGGGGAGACCTTATAGCAATCTACTTCCTCACAAGGGGAAGTGGAGGACAGCACTAATCTCTTCTCTCAGGTGACCAGTGGCAAGACCCAATGGCATGACATGAAGCTGTGTCTGAGGAGGTTTAGGTTAGATATTAGGTTCTTCCCCCAGGGGGTGATTGGGCACTGGAACAGGCTCCCCAGGGAAGTGGATGCAGCACCAAGCCTGACAGAGTTCAAGAAACTTTTGGACAACACTCTCAGACACGTGGTGTGATTCTTGGGGCTGTCCTGTGCAGGGCCAGGAGTTAGACTTTGATGTTCCTTAAGGGTCCCTTCCAATATTCCACAGAATATGCCTTGGGATATTCTGTGATTCTATGATCTTTGCTAAGTACCAAGCATGCTAAAGCATGGGAGAAGCAAGATAAGTAAGTGATCATCTCAACTACTGCTTTTAGACAGGTACTGTCACTTAAGTATCTGTTTTGGAAACCCTTTCAGCACTGATGATGTCTTCTCTGTTTCACATAGTACAGGCTGTTGT